AAATTATAAATTTAATTGATTGATTTATTATTATTAAATAAATTTTAATTTGTTAATTATAAATTATTAATTTAATTGAATGATTTATTATTTATTATTATTAATTAAATTTTAATTTGTTCATTATTAATTATTAATTTAATTGATTCATTTATTATTTATTGTTATTAATTAAATTTTAATTTATTAATTATTAATTTAATTGATTGATTTATTATTTATTATTATTAATTACATTTTAATTTATTAATTATTAATTTAATTGATTGATTTATTATTTATTATTATTAATTAAAATTTAATTTGTTAATTATCAATTATTAATTTAATTGATTAATTTGTTATTTATTATTATTAATTAAACTTTAATTTATTAATTATTAATTTAATTGATTAATATATTATTTATTATTATAAATTAAATTTTAATTTATTAATTATTAACTATCAATTTAATTTATTGATTTATTATTTATTATTATTAATTAAATTTTAATTTATTAATTATTAATTTAATTGATTGATTTATTATTTATTATTATTTTTATTTTATTTTATTTTTTTATTTTTTTTAGGGGCAATAAAAAATGAGATGCACAGTGTTGGTTTTGGGGGGGCAGAGGTGGGGGGGTAAGAGCGCCCCCTCCTGGTGAGAGGAGGAGTTAGGTCTGTTTCTACAGTCCCTGGTTGCCGTGGTCACCTGAGGACAGTAACGGTGTTCAGTACCGATTCCACCGCTCCCTGCTGAGTCACTGTTACTAATCCTCCATCAACATCTGTGGTTGCTACGGTAACCCAGGTGGGGGCGCCCTCTGTCTCTGGGTCATTGTCCTGATGATGTTAGAGTCAGACCTGCTGTGTCTGTGGTTCTGGACATGTGGCACAGACAGACAGACAGACGTGTTGGTGTGGTCTGTGAGCTGACGTGTCTGTGACTGTGTCAGTGTCTGTGTCTGTATCAGTGTCTGTGTCTGTGATTGATGAAGGTTTAACCAGTGATAATCCTGCTGCTCTGGGAGGATAATCCTCCAGAGGAGCAGGATTAGACTGAGAGCTCCCCCCACAGGACAGAGTCAGGGTTTCACCCCCCCACCCCCCCCCCCCCACCCCCCCCCCCCGCGGCACAGGAAAC